CTTTAGAAAATTGTGTAACTGTTAGAAAACAGAACAAAATGAAACACTCAAGTGACCCTGACACTCCGATGATGAATGTTTGAGGCCTTTATTTATGGTAAGAAATATTTAAAAAATAATTTTGTAGGGGTGCCTTGCTGGCTCAGTCTATTAAGCATGAAACTCTTCATCTCAGGGTGGTGAGTTCAAGCCTAATGTTGGGTGAGGAGTCTATTTAAAACAAAATAATAATAATAAAATAATAATAATTTTCTACATCAATCAATTTTGCGGAAGAACAAGATAATGATGATAATGTGATAATGATAGATCCACTTTTTTATTTCATTTTGATCTGGTAACTTTCACCTTTGTGTAACATCTTTTTTTTACTTTGAAAAATATCAGTGACCTTGTTGAATCACTATAATGTACAACTGAAACTAATAAGTATGTTGACTGTATTGGAGTTAAAATAGGGGAAAAATATCAATGACCTCAACTTGTTATATTTCAAAAAATTTAAAAGATTTATTTATTTATTTATTTTAGGGAGAGATAGCACAAGAGGGAAAGTAAGAACTTGGAGGGGCAGAGGAAGAGGGAGAGAAAGTTTAGCAGACTGCACACAGCACAAAGCCCAAGGTGGGACTTGATCTCATTACCTTAGCTGAAACCACAAGTTGGTGGCTTAACTGACTATGCAAAAAGTTATAATTTATTTCAGCAACAATTTCTTTCTTGGCAATATGAACCACATATCTGGTAAAGTATGGAAAGTAACTGCATGTTTTATTAGTCAAGATGGCTGGAAAATAGAATAGTGTAGATAGTTGTTTCCATTCAAAGGAAAGTCAAAGAACTATGATTCTTTTAGTACCTACTGTTCAACTGTAAATTTTTGAGTAGGAAGCAGTATTCCAATTTGTATATTCAGTATTTCCAACATATGAAAAATTTGTATGCCTTATACTTCATTCATAATAGAATATATGGTGGAGATTGTGATTGTCTTTGTGTGTTCTTCATATTCATTTTTATTTTATCCTGAATATACACATGAGATTTTTGTGTTTTTTTTTAAAGACTTTATTTATTTATTCATAGAGACACAGAGAGAGAGAGGCAGAGAGGCAGGCAGAGGGAGAAGCAGGCACCATGCAGAGAGCCTGACATGGGACTCGATCCAGGGTATCCAGGATCATGCCCTGGGCTGCAGGCGGCGCTAAACAGCTGCGCCACCCCACCGGGGCTGCCCCACATGAGGTTTTTTTGGATCAGAGACAGATGATTATTACTTACCTAATAATAATTGCGCTGGTTCCCCTCGCTTCAATTCTTACCCCTGAAGAGATGCTATGAGAACCAGATGTCACCCTACATGCAAAGGGTCTGTACTGTAAGTGAGGAAATGAGTCTAGGTTTTTGTTTGTTTGTTTGTTTGTTTGTTTTTGAGTCTAGGTATTTTTGTAGGAAAGAAAGGCAGCTGTCCTCCTCTTCTTCTAAAAATAGGGAGAAAAAAATTCTTTACTCCTCGAAGACAAGATAGAAAGAATCCTTGTTTTCTCCCTCTTTTCTAATGTAAATAAATCTCTCCAGGGGCCAGAGTAGCCCAAGTCTCCAGCTTTATAACTCAGAGATATCTCCAGAGACCCAAGTTTCACCCCAACTTGAAGTGAAAATAGACATCTCAAAGCAGGTATATTTTTCGAGTTCTTTTCTTCTTTTTAAAGATTTTATTTATTTATTCATGAGAGACACAGAGACAGAGGCAGAGATCCAGGCAGAGGGAGAAGCAGGTTCCATGCAGGGAGCCTGAGTGGGACTGGATCCTGGGTCTCCAGGATCAGGCCCTGGGCCAAAGGCCGCACTAAACCACCGAGCCACCACTGAGCCACCCGGGCTGCCCTCTTTTGAGTTCTAATTATCTATGCAGTTCTAAATTATCTCTATAGCTTGCTTTTAGTCCAAGATTTCAAGGTTCCATAAAACTTGCTCAGAAATCCCTAATGGTGTAGAAACTCAAAAATATTTTCTCAACACCTCACAGGGCTCCAAGATTACTTCTTCCTTCTGCCTGGGCAACGTGGCTGCCCAGATAAAAATCTCATTTCCCAATTGCTTTCAGATAGATGTGGCCTTGTAGCAGATTCTTTCAGTTATCCTCAAACTGAGAAGGTATTGATTTCACCTTCATTCCTAAAGGATATTTTCACTGGGTGAATCATTCTAGGTTTACATTTCTTTCAGTTCTTGAAAAATGATCATTTCCTTCTGGCCTCCATGGTTTCTGATAAGAAATTTGCTGTCATTTGGATAATTATTCCCTTACGCCTAATGAATTTTTTTTGAACTGCTTTCAAGATTTTTACTTTGTCTTTAGCTTTGAGAAATTTTATTTCAGTGCCTTGATCTTTGAGTTTATACAGTGAACTCCAATTTCTTGAATCTGTAGCTTTATGCCTTTCACTAAATTTGGGGAATTTTCAGTCATATATTCATTGAATACTTTATCAGGCCACATGCTACCCCTTTTTGAGGATGACTCTGATGACACCAATGTTTGATCTTTTGTTACTGTTCCACAGATTCTTGAGACTGTTTTTTTCCCCCAGTCTATTTTCTTAATTATTCAGAGTGGGTAATTGTCTTATCCTCAATTTCACGGAATTTTTCCTCTGACATCAACATTCTATTTTTGAGCACACTCAGTGAGTTTTACAACTATTTCCATTTGTGTCTTCTTTATATTTTCTATTTGCTGAGACTTTCTATTTTTTTTCATTTGTTTCAAATGTGTTTGTAATTGCTCAGTGATGCATTTTTTAAAGTTTTTATTTTATTTTTTTTAAGATTTTATTTATTTATTCATAGACACAGAGAGAGAGAGGTAGAGACACAGGCAGAGGGAGAAGCAGGCTCCATGCAGGGAGCCTGACGTGGGACTCGATCCCGGGTCACCAAGATCACACCCCAGGCTGCAGGCGGTGCCAAACCGCTGCACCACCAGGGCTGCCCTCAGTGATACATTTTTATAATGACAACTTTGAAATCCTTATCTGATAATTCATTTTTTAAAAGATTTTATTTATTTATTCATGAGAGACACAGAGAGAGAGAGGCAGAGGGAGAAGCAGGCTCAAGGCAGGGAGCCTGATGTGGGAATCGGTCCTGGGACCCCAGGATCACACCCCAGGCCAAAGGCAGGTGCTAAACCGCTCAGCCACCCAGGGATCCCCTTATCTGATAATTCTAATATCTGGGTTATCCCATTGTTGGCATCTGTTGTTGTTTCTCATTCAAGGTCAGATTTTAATGGTTCTTGGTAGGATGTATGATTTTTCTACATGGGTATTTTAGCATTATGTTATGAGGCCCTGGATCTTATTAAACTTTCTGTTTTAGCAGGCCTCCCCTGATGCTGTGCTAGCAAGAGAAAGGTATAAAAATCTAGGTCACCCATTAGGCCTCCATGACATTCCAATCTACTGGAGGAGGGGGTCAGGAAGGACCACCCTGTTACCCTCAAGTGGGGGTGGGACTTCAGAGTCCCCACTCTGCTTCTTCTGTAACATCCCAGAGGAAAAGGGGGCGGAGTGCCTCATTACCACCAGGCAGAGGTGAAAGTCTAGGCTCACCACTCAGTATTTGTTGGTGGGAGTGAGGGTGGAGGCATGACATTTTTCATGCATGGCTAGAGTTGTCCCCTTCCTGTCCTTTACCTGTCTCTTTCCTCATCCTTTGCCAAGGGACAGCAAGAGAAGGGGATTTTTTTGTTTGTTTGTTTAGGTGCATTGGCATTTCTGGCATTTCTGGGTTGTGGACTCTTCCAACACTCTATCCAGGATATACAAGACAAAAAGAAAACCCAAGGAACTTAACAGCATGCTGTTCCTGAAGTCTCAAGGTCTCTGGTCTCTGGATAGTCCATCACATTCTCTCCATCTTTCAGGGTCTCCAGTTCATTTAATACATAACGTCCAGGGTCTTTACCATACTTAATGGGAGGAATAGTAAGAAATGCATCTGCTGTGTTTTTTTCTGGAATCAGAAGTCTAGCTCCCTTTTTTTTTAAAAAAAAGATTTTATTTATTTATTCATGAGAAACAAAGAGAGAGGCAGAGACACAGGCAGAGGGAGAAGCAGGCTCCCTGCGGAGAGCCAAAGGTGGGACTCGATCCTGGGACCCCGGGATCACGCCCTGAGCTGAAGGCAGCTGGTCAACCACTGAGGCACCCAGGCAACCCAGAAGCCCAGCTCTCTCAATAGAAAATACTGCTTTTTCCCTTGGGTAACTCTACTATCCCCACCTGGAGGAATGGGAGGAATTTTGCCAACACAGAACAAAATCTAGATATACATCTGTTCTTCTAAACCAACTGACATATCCTTCGCCAAGGGCCTCTGCTGCTTAGTATGCCCACTGTTCACTAGTGGAGGAGCAGGAGAGGAATATTATGAAAAATAGTACTTAGGGAATGGGGACACTTATGAGAAGAGAAAAACCGCTCTGGGTTGGTTTATCAGCATTTTTTTTCTTCTTTACGTCACTACTTCCCACACTTCAGTAGATAACAGGAAAAGGAAACATGCATTTCAAACATGAGCTTTAAAGGTTCACAATAAAAGGGTCATATACTTTTTCCTCCCACAATTCCCCTTATCCAGTAAATGATTAAATAAAACAAACTTTTCATTTTTATTCTAGTTTTTATTTAGATCTTTATTAATTGGAGCTATAACTTCTCCCTCTTGGTTACAGTGTCATAGGATCTCTAATAAATACAAAAAACAAACAAATTGTACGACAGGTTATGGACTTGATACTGGCACTAATGGTCATGAAACACCAAACTTACATAACTACTGAGGTAATGAATAATCTAAGTGTTAATCTTCTTGTTCTATGGCTTACTCTTGTCAAACCAGCAGATCTATCCTAGGTTTGATGATTGATTATGCCTAGAGTTGATGTATTACAGTTTTTGAAGAATTGCCTTTTCTTCTACTTTTGGTATTTTCTAAGTTAGGCTGCTGGATGATTTTTCCACAGGAGCTCCTCTTGCAATATGAGTATTGAAGTGGTTATTAAGCGCTTTCTTGCTACCAGCATCCAGGCCTCTGTAGAATTTGTCTTTTTTCTGAAATGTACCCTCTTTTTCTTGCATTTTTGGCTTATGCTCTGCTGATAGCTTCTGTTTTTTCCTGTACTTTTCACCGTTTTTCTGAATTGGCTTCTCTTGCAGAGTTCCCTCTTTCTGATGATGGAGTTCCTTGAGAAGCTCTATTCTCTGCTGTAAGATCTGACATTCATTTTCCAGCAAAGCTGAAATCAAATGCAATGAATATGTGTCATGTTCCAGTTTTTTCACTTGTTCCTCCAGTTCATGCTGAGCTGACACCTTCTCATTTGATTGAGTTTGGAAATGTGCTCCATTATTTTTAAGAGTTTCTTGTATATCTTTCTGAGATTTCTGATATGTTCTTATTAGTTCACTGAGCTCAGCATGTTGCACATTCCAGTGTTCTGCTTCCTGTAGTAACTGCTCCATGTTGTTCCTAAGTTTGATATTTTCTTCTTGAACACGAGGGAGTCTATATTTTGCTTTTTCCTTACTTAACTGAGTTTCATCAAGGGCTCTGTTTTCTTCTGAACAATTTACCAAATCACTTCTAAAGACTTGTACCGTGTCCTTACAGTTCTGGTTTTCCACTATCATCTGTTTTTTAGCATTCTCTTCTTTCTCTAGGTCTGAGCAATCAAGCAGGTTGTTCAATAACACTTCATTTATCTTATCAAGTTCTCTGATTTTTTCTTTAAGTTCTGACACATCCTCAGAAATACTGATTTCCTCAAAAGAATCTTTGACTTCTGTGATCTTTTCTTCATTACTTGTCACATTTTTAATGATATCTTTAATATCTTTTAAGAGATTTTCAAACTTCTGTGCAGTCTGTTGTTCAGCTGCTTGATGGTCACTATTGTTTGAGGAAGGGAGAAAACACCAGGAGACAGGAGGAAGTGATCCAATTTCAAATAAGGCAATGATAATCCTAGGGCCCAAAGACTCTTGATTGAGACCGGGAGTTGGCTTAAGAGTTTTGGAGAGGGTGGACACTTCCATCTCAGCTGAGTTAGGAGGGGCTGGTGATTAGAGCATGTGGCAAGCAGAAAAGCCTTAGAGATTCCAGAGTGAGAAGGTGGTAGTCCTCTGTGCAAAAGGGTAGAGAATGTGGAACTAAGCAGAAGTCGAGAGACCAGAGTTAAGGTCTGAAACCAAGGAGATGATGATTAGGTGAAAGGTGACATTTCAGATGACCTAGGGGGGAAGGAGGGTGAGAAAGGGGACCAGGAGCTAGGGCTCCATCTGTCCTTCTCCAAGCTGGTGTCTATTCCCTGACCCTAGCAACCAGGTCTTTATTTTGTCACTGTACTATCATAGCCTATCTCCAGCTTCTGTTTCTTTTTGTCACAATAGAAGCCCCTTAAACCCCTGCCCAGTGACTCATGAATCAAAACTAACCTTGAACTATTCCTAGTCTTCTGCCCAGAAAGATCTTTATGCCTGTCCTTTCCCTCCCTACTTTTCTAGGTTTTTATTCAACTTGTTCTAACTGTATTCCGTGACCCCCTATGTCATTTCCACTACTTACAAACCCAAACTCAACTGAAGTATGTTTTGTTTTGTTTTGTTTTGTTTTACCACTGAAGTGCATGGTGTGAGAAATCTTCCCTGGACTTTCATAGCACCTGGAGCTTATTGGTCCCATTCTAGGAGAGATGTTACCATAAAAGAAAGCAGAACCCAAAAGTATTGCATGTTTTTGTGAGTTTAGAGAAATAATTTAAAAAATCGCTCCATTTGAAAATATTTTATTGCAGGGGAATCCCTGCATGGCTCAGCGGTTTGGCGCCTGCCTTTGGCTCAGGGCGCAATCCTGGAGTCCTGGGATCAAGTCCCGCATCGGGCTCCCTGCATGGAGCCTGCTTCTCCCTCTGCCTGTGTCTCTGCCTCTCTCTATGTCTATCATGAATAAATAAATAAATAAATCTTAAAAAAAAGAAAAGAAAATATTTTACTGCAGTAAAAAGAGAATATCTGAATGGTTTCTTAATGCAATCACAAACTGGGACTTTTCTTGGCTTCAAATACAAGCATCCTTTAAGACAGGTTAAGTAAAAGCTTGCTCCTGATTCATTTACAGGTGATATAAAATTGTAATCATTTAATCAATTTAATCAATTAAATCCTGTAGTGGGCTACGTCTATTAGCCTAAGAGTCAGGACCTTGAGAATATTAAATTCAAAGAAAATATTCCTTAAGTGAGCCTTTTTCTTGGCCTTCAAAATCTTGTTAGCAAGTACTTTACTAACTACAATTTTACTTCCAATATTAAGGGGAAACTCACACTCTAGTAGGTTTTGTGGATTTTTTTTTTATTTGCCTTAGAGAAAACAAGCTTATGCCTTTTTCTTTCATAGCTACCAACTCACTCTGCCTTTAATTTCCCTGAGCCTCGTGCTCATCTTCCAGCCGGCTGGGCTCAGAGCTGTTGCCTCTTGGCTGTCTGAAGATAATAGCCATCTTTCTTTTCTACTTGAAGAAGGAGCACCTTTTCTAATTCATAGAAGCTAGTAATTGCCCTTTTGCTTTCATTCTATGTCTTAAGTTCCAAATTTTGTTGCTATTTCACCTTTGGCTCAAACCATCACTTAAGATAATGTTTTAATCTTCACAATAAGGGAAGTTTTTTTCCCTGATTTGGTAATTAATTTCTGCCTTTTGCATTGTAATCAGAAAATAAAATATTTCTACCTTTTGAAATTGATATTTTCTCTTAGATTAATTATCAGTGTTCATTTATGTTTCATGGGTACTTGAAAAATGTATTTTTTGTTACTATGCTTGTGGCTTTTCATGCTTTTGGACATAAATCTGATATTACCTTTGTTTTAAATTTTTTTGGAAACTGGTTTGAAGGTGGCTTGCTCGAGATACTGAGATAATATTTTTTCAGCAAAGGAAGATTTAAATATTTCCTTCCTCCTTACAGGTATAATGAATTTCAAATAATATTTCTGTTAATTTTGCTGAAATTTGAGTTCACTATACATGCTGAAAGATATCTGGAGTGGTGTCTTTTTTTTACTGACCCATATTCTCGGTGGGTAACTATGAAAATTAAACAGATTTAGACTGTCTTACAATTGCTGACCACTGAGTTTCCAATAGCTTAATGACTTATAAAAAAGAAATGCTGAAATGAGTCAGAGAAAGACAAATACCACATGATTTCACTTATATGTGGAGTTTAAGAAACAAAACAAATGAGCAAGGGGAAAAAAATGAGAGAGAGACAAACCAAGAAACAAACTCTCAACTGTAGAGGACAAGCTGATAGTTAGCAGAGGCAGATGGGTGAGAGCATGGGTGAAACAGGAGATGGGGTTTGCTTGCTGTGATGAGCACTGGATGCTGTATGAAAATGTTGAATCCCTATATCATATACCTGAAACTAAAATTACAAGTATGTTAGTTCTACTGGAATTAAAATAAAATAAAAACTTCAAAAAATGCAAAAAGCTGTTTTTAAAATGTTAGAAAAAAACTTGAATGGAATTTTCTCTCTCTTTAAAATCAGTTTGCCTTAACAAAAACATGAATCGTATCAATGTGTACATGATGTCAGAGGTCTTACTGCTGGTGATGTTAATCTTGGTCACTTTACTAAATGGTATCTGCTGGATCTAACACTATAAAGTCACTCTTTCCCTTTGTAATTTTCAAACATCTTGGGAGAGATATTTTGACACTATGAAAGTATTCTGTTTCTCCTCAAGCTTGTGCCCATGTGGCATAATTTTAGTGTATGGAGATGGGTTTTTCCTGCAACAATCATTACAGTGGTGATCTAATGGTGATTTTCTATTTCTTTTTTTTTTTTTAAGATTTTATTTACTTATTTATTCATGAGAGACACACAGAGAGAGAGAGAGAGGCAGAGGCACAGGTAGAGGGAGAAGCAGGCTCCATGCAGGGAGCTTGATGTGGGACTCGATCCTGGGTCTCCAGTATCAGGCCTTGGGCTGAAGGCAGCGCTAAACCGCTGGGCCACTCAGGCGTTCCAAGATTTTCTATTTCTGTCATTCCTTTTATATTTGTTGATTGTAATTATTTTGTAAAGAACTATCTTGGGATGCCCAGGTGGCTCAGTGGTTTAGCGCTGCCTTCAGCCCAGGGCCTGATCCTGGAGACCCAGAATCGAGTCCCGCGCCCGGCTCCCTGCATGGAGCCTGCTTCTCCCTTCGCCTGTGCCTCTGCCTCTCTCTCTCTCCCTCTGTGTCTCTCATGAATACATAAATAAATAAAATCTTAAAAAAAAAGAGAGAGAGAAAGCTATCTCTTTTCAGTATTTACTTATTCCTTCATTTGAGCATGTGTTTATAGATGCATGGATTCATGGATATTTATTTTATTTGGGGGGTTATAATTGAATACTATAATTCATTTTCTTGATCAGATATATAAGAATAATTTTAATTTGACGAAAATTTTTGTGTATAATTAAGTATATTTTCGTTTTGTGTAATTGTTCTAATTCTTCAGTAATTTCATTTTGTTTTGAATCCAAAGCAATAGCTGATTTTGACTATTTAAAGATCTTTATAGTCACAAAGGAATCTATGCCGGGTGTGATTTTAAACAAAACGACTTGTATGATTGCTTTTATATGTAGTAATGTACTTGTGTGTAGCCAGTTAGAGGTAAAATTGTCTGAAAATGTGAAATTTTTATTTAAACAAGCAAAATACAGATAAAACTGGACACATTGATTAGCCAGTGTTCCTCTGCATGACCTCTTTTCTTGGACCACCAGGTGGTGCTGTTGGCTTTCAACATTATAGAAGTTGCTGAGGGGTTTTTGTTTGGTTTTTAAATATTCAATTCAGAATTAGTGATATATCACAGAGATAGTCTCGTCTAGAGCCGTTTTTTCCCCCAGAGTTTGAGCTAAGTGACTTGCCCAGAGTCACTTAGCCCAGCTAGTTATGATGAGAGCACAGATTAGAGTTAAACTTGCAGGGGAGGCAGGTTCTGCAGATGAGGCTGTGGAAGAATTTTTAAGTATCTGTTAAGTGTTACATGAAAAAGGGGTTATGTGGAAAAGCAGGTTTTCAAAACTGATGAGACTGGCTTGTTTTACAAGATGTTGGCAAACAAACCTATATAACACAAACGGTATTTCTATGGGCGAAAATGTGACCAGAGACTCACAAGAATTTAACCTTGTATTTCCCTTGAAGCGATTATTTAGTATTTGCTAATTCAAAGTTGGCAGCAACTTTATAGAACATTACTGCAAAGAACAAGATTTGACTGTATATAGAAGTAACAACAAAAAGTGCAAACTTACATTCTGAAAACTACAAAGTATCATTGAAAGAAATTAAAGAAGATCTAAATAAATAGAAAAACATCTCATGTTCATGGATTTGAAGACTTGATATTGTTAAGATAGCAATATTTCCCAAAATGATCTACAGAGTCAATAAAATTTCTATCAAAATCCCAGTTCTCCCGGTTTGGCAGAACAGACAAGCTGATCCTAAAATTCATATGGAAATTCAAGAGATCCAGAAATAGCCAAAACAATCATGAAAAAGAAAATAGGGGGATCCCTGGGTGGCCTAGCGGTTTAGCGCCTGCCTTTGGCCCAGGGCCTGATCCTGGAGTCCTGGGATCGGGTCCCACATCAGGGTCCTTGCATGGAGCCTGCTTCTCCCTCTGCCTGTGTCTCTGCCTCTCTGTGTCTTTAAAAAAATGAAAAAGAAAACATAGTAGGAAAATTCACATGACCTCATTTTAAGATTTACTTTGTAGACATAGTAATCAAGACAGTGTGGTATTGGTGAAGGGACAGACAACACATAGATCAATAGAGCACAAGAGAGAGCCCTGAAGTAGACCCACACAAATACAGCCAACTGATTTCTATCAAAGGGAATTCAATCAAATGGTGCTCCACAGATTGGATATCTGTATGTGAAAAACAATACATACCTGATACCTTACCAAAAAAATTTAACTCTATGGGGATTATGGAGTGAAGTTGCTATGATGA